CTACACATCCCAACATATTATCCAAATATGTTATTAATTAATGAAACATAACAGTATAATCTTTGGATTTACAAAGTTGTATGGGATTTCATTAGTGTAAAAGTTGCTTTTGAAGCATTTTTCTATAGCCATTTTGTAGGAAAAATGATGGAAAAAATGTGTAATCTTTTAATTTGAAGTATGACCTGAATCGATTGCAAACTTTATATTTGCACATCTGATGTGATATACCATTTGTGTCATACTGTGAAATTATTTAATTTGCAATCGATTCAGGTCATAGTGTATTTTAGGTATTTTTGTGAAAAATAATAGAAACCAATGGCCTCTATTGGAATTGATGATATCCACATGTTAAGTCAATGGAGCCCATTCAATGGCAAGTCAATACACCCTAGCTGAACTAAATGACCTCAACCTCAGCCCATGTGGGTCCAAACGCTCAAATATTTTCCACAGTATTATGTGACATTGTATTCTTTCTGTTACACCTAAAAATGATTCATTTTGTTCATGGGGATATCATAATGGAAAGTGCACTAGACCCTTATTGTAATTGTATGATATCGTATTTGTGATTTGAATATACACTGTGATATTTGAGAAAAAGAATGTTTTGTTTTAGTTTCATTGCAATTTATAACCCTAATATCTTAAAGCCAGAATCCTTCCTTGTTTTCCAATTTTCTAATAACCTCAGAAGTTCCTAATTTTTTTAAAAAATACAATTTTCCATGATCATTTTTATGTCACCACCACAAGTGGTGACATATTGTTATGGTCTCTAACTTTTTTGTGGACGGTGCTCAGTGGTTGGTGTTTATCATTTGGCAGTTGGTGTCTGTAACAAATGGCAGGTGTTGACATTTTGCATGTGAATGCCTTGTCTTATAATGTAGCCAACTGCAATGGATGTTAAACGGATACAGTTAACTAATACATTTCTTGGCATCAATTCAAATCATATGCTAATTTTAAATGAAAATGCTTTTTTTCATGTTTTACCACTCATAAATGCCATAATATCTCGATGTCACATTCAGGAAAATATGGCTATCAACAAGTTTTGAATTCTTACAATCCTAGAAGTTGTATGTGTAAGCATACACATATGTCAGTTCAGTTTATGTGTAAAAGTTAATCCCCTAAGCCTTAATACCTGATCCATGAAATATTATGGATGAGTTACATAATATGTACTCGTGCTATTTAGGTAAATGTTGAGCTGTTTCACCTGATTTGACTGACATCTTTAAATAGCAACAATTTGATTTGATGATCAGACAGCAACAAAACATATTAAGTGGCCAAGACAAAAGAATGTTATTATGATAGGCATTCTAGGGATTAAGGAATGCATTCAGCTTACATAATTTGAGAAATTATTGGCATACGTAAAACCTATTTAAAACAGCATTTATTGTATTCAAAAGCGTTGAGCATCATTGATTCCCAGCCCTCTGAAGATTGAAAAATAAAAATACCTGGGTGTTAATCCATGGATTATCTTTGAAAATGAGAAATATATTTTTGTACTACATGGTGTAATCTTAAAGTAAACAAAATGTTTTAAAGTGTATTGATGTTTTTCGGATGAAAACATAGGCGAAATTCATGAAAAAAATCCCCCGATTTATTCTACAAACAACTCGCCCTCCTTTTTTTCATTGACTTATACACTTTGAAAATGCCCAGAAAGCACCAAATAGCATCTCAAAATTGTAAAATTTTCTGGGGGGGGGTGGGCCACCCCTCACAACTCCCACAAAACAATGGAAAAGTTCCGAATTTATTTTATGTATAGTCTCAGACACTTTTAAAGTGCCCTGACATCATCAAATACAAGTAGCTCCTTGATATAGTCAATGATTCTTGGAGACTAACCCTTACTCGACCTCTGGCATCCCCACCCCACCTCGCTCTCTGGCACCCCCCCCCCCCCCCCCCCTAACACCGCAAATTGAAAAAAAATGTGATTTTTTCATATTTTTTGTTGAGTCATATACTTTGAAAGTACCTAGAAAGCACCAAATAGCATATTAAAATTGTAAAATTTTCTAGGAGAGTTGGTCACCCCTCACAGCCCCCACAAAACAATTGAAATAATTCTGAATTTTGTGTATTATCTCAGAGACTTTTAAAGTTCCCAGACATCATCATGTAGCTCCTTGATATAGTCAATGTTTCTGGGGTACTAATACTTGCTCCCCCTCTGGCATCCCCCACCCCACCTCCCCCCTTGACACCCCCCCAAATAATGGAAAAAATTGTGATTTTCTCAAATGTTTTAATTGACTCATACACTTTGAAAGTCTTAAACTTGTAACATTTTCTACCACTCCTCATACCCAAAACAAAACAATTGAAAAGTTCCGAATTTATTTTATATATTGTCTCAGACACTTTTAAAGTTCCCTGACATCATCAAATAGCTACTTGATATATAGTCAATGATTCTTGGAGACTAACCCTTTCTCGCCCTCTGGCATCCCCACTCCACCTCGCTCTCTGGCACCCCCCCCCCCCCCATTAACCCCCCCCCCCCCCCAAATTGAAAAAAAAGTGATTTCGTCATATTTTTTGTTGAGTCATATACTTTGAAAGTGCCTAGAAAGCACCAAATAGTATATTAAAATTGTAAAAGTTTCTAGGAGAGTTGGCCACCCCTCACATCCCCCACAAAACAATTGAAATAATTCTGAATTTTGTGAATTGTCTCAGACACTTTTAAAGTTCCCAGACATCATCAAATAGGTCCTTGATATAGTCAATGATTTTTACTCGCCCTCTGGTATCCCCACCCAACCTCCCCCTCTGGCATCCCCCCCTTGACAACCCTCAAAAGTTGAGAAAAAAATATATTTTTCAAATTTTTTATTGACTCCTACACTTTAAAAGTGCTCAGATGCACCAAATATCATCTTAAAATTGTAAAATGTTCTTGGAGAGTTGGCAATCCTTCAAATCCCCCACAAAACAATTGAACAAATTCTGAATTTCACGTATTGTCTCAGACAATTTTAAAGTGCCCAGACATCATCAAATAGCACCTTGATATGGTCAATGTTTCTGGGGGACAACCACTTGGTCCCCCTCTGGCACCCCACTCTTCACCCTCTCATCCTCTTTGACACCCCCAAAAGAATTCACATTTTTTTATTGACTCATACACTTTGAAAGTGCCCAGAAAGCACCAAATAGCATCTAAAAGTGTAAAATTTTCTACGGGGAGTGGCCCACTCCTCACACCCCATATAAAACAATTGGACAGTTTGGACACTTAAACAGTCACCAAGTGACATAATGAAATCATAAAGATTTCTGGCACCCCACCCCAAAAACTAAAGCATTCATTTACTCAAACACATTAAAAGTGCTCAGAATTAATCAGACAGCATCTTGAATTGGTAGAATTTTCATGTGCTGCCCCCTCGCTCCCCTAAGAAGAAAATGATTTAAAATCTGAATTTCTTTAAATTGATTCTATTGATTAAAACACCTTAAAGTGTCCAGAAATCACTGAATGTGATCTTGAACAGGTAAAATTTTTGGGAAAACATTTATGCCCTTCTAGCACACCTTCCCCCTATTTCAGTGTTTCTCCAAATTGCTCATTCAATATTAAGTCTAAAAACCATAAAAATACTACAAAATAGGCTGAATGGCACCAATATAGGGAGTAACCGACCCCCCCCCCCCTTCTCCTCTGACTCACGCGATTTGATTTACGCGGCAAAATTTGACAATGTCATATTCTCTTTAGTAAAAACCGCACCCCCCTTGGTGAAAAGTGTCTTACGGGCCTGCTCTCAGTTAATTATTTACCAGCTTCAAATGAGCTTGTTTTTTTGTTTTGTTTTTTAAATTAATTTATTAACATTGAAACATTTATACAATCAAATGAGCTTGTTGTGACCTTGTTCTAGGTGAAGTTTGTATGACCAACTTGATAGGGAAGAGTCACATAGATAGCCATGATTATCACTCTAAAATACAATTTTTTAGTCTAGAATCTAAACAATATTTTCCATGTGTTAGCAAAGGATTTAACCCTTTCCTGCTCAATCACACCAATTGTCAGGTTAAACTTGATAGCTTGGGCTTTAATACGAATCTCTATTTTTGCTGACATTTTGATTTTCAATCCAAAAGAATTATGAAAATACATTTCCATTGTATTGCAATAATTACAAGTCATAAAATTGCTCATTGAATTGGAGTATTTCCTAGTGCCATCATAATTCTGGGCAGGAAAGAGTTAAGTTTTAAACTTTGAAGTGATTTATGTTTACCACCAATATTTACAAATAAAACATGAAAGGCTTATTTAGCATTGCTGATAAAAAGTGAATCACAAACTATAAGTCTTCAGTTTTTTTTTGAAGATAAAGTTAGGGGTACAAAAATAAATATGAAGGATTTGATATAGAAAATATATTTTTTATTAATTTATATTGATATTGATATATTTTTCATATATTTATCATATTTCAAACAACTGCTGTATATCTAGAATAGGTTGAATAAGGCAGATTTGATAGTCTAGTCTTGCATCAAGTCCTTTCTAAACCATGCATGTACTAAACTAAATAATGGGGGTCATCTTAATGGTACAATACTGAACTTTTCATTTAAGTCATTATTTTATCTGAAAGAGATGTGCTAGTCTTACATCAAGACATCAAGACAAATATGACATTGTCCCTTCTATAAACATGTATTGAAATGGATATAATATATCAGTAAAATTATAATGTAATGGCTATTGATCAAAAAATGTGTGACAAAAACAACTTTTAGCTTTTTAAATCACTGTATTATCTGAAGGAGATTTGCTTCTCTTGCATCAAACTCATGTGCCCCCCTCCACCCTCACTAGCTGACACCTACACCTACCTGTAATTTATTGGGAATGAGACAAGGGGCTTGATGCAAAATTATTTTCTATCTCTCAATATAAGTTTAAAGGTCAAGTAAAATAACCTTAACTTATATTTACTGTTTGAAATTCAGTTTCTAATAATTCAATGTTTGAGTATTTATGAAATATAGCATGTAATGAAATAGCTTTTGTCAACAACACAAGGTTGAATTATTTTGCATGTCCTCTTAGCCTCCTCAATTTGATTAGATGTTCAATAAACAGCCAGCTACCACCTAGAGATGGTTAATGATGCTTTAGGATTGTTTCTGTCATCTCTCCATGTTACTGTATGTGGTACTTTTGACAATATTTCATTTACTTTGTTTAAGGCTTCACATAAAGTAGACAAATGTTCATTGTTATGATACTTTGTGTTCTCCTCAGTGAAAAGTGTTTCCCACCACTCTGTACATTTTGTATGACTCACTTGATGTAAGAACCATATAAATCCTATAAGACTCAAAGGTCCAATCTCCCTCACAACTTTTGGGAAGAACATATCTTGAAAATGTCCTTGTTGACTTAATACTTTAACATATAACTCATCTGGTGTATCAGGTTGGTCAGGATTAAGCATCTGAACAATATTTCTGTAACATTCCCCCACATTGGTTGCTTGACATGTTTGTTGATGTTGCCATACCAGTGACTGGATGTGATAACTGGAGGATGTATGAACTATAGCAAATGCTGTGTCTATTCCTAGATGATGACATGTATTAGTGAGAATGTGATTGATAAGCTTAAGAGTAAGGAAAAGTTCTCTATGGGATTCTGACAACTCATACTTGTTAGGAGGATTGATAGGAGATTCCTTCCAGTGGGTGCTGTAAGGAAGGCCACAATTACAGGAATTGTCACTAAATCTCCCACATACCATGACACATTGTCCAAGATTGGTAACTCTACCTTCTATAGAGAAACACAGGTCTACTTTGGCAGTGCATAGAGGGGCGCCAATCTTCAGTGTTATACTTGGACCATGAGCTAACACACATACACTAATATGTCCTAATGGGTAAGGATCACTATGGTCTTCATCCTTGTGTTTATGCTCATCTTTGGAAGTCAATGAGTTTATTTGACAGAGGGCCCATTTTACAGCTTCTTGCAGTTTAGTTAGAAATATATAATAAGCACCTTTAAGGTATGAATCACTTGGAGTATGTTTACAAAAGTCACCAAGATTGTCTCTTACAGCTGCATTAATCACTTTGATATAAACACATCCCGTGTCTTTATCATAGCAATTCTCCTTCACATCCTCCACTACAACAGTCTCTTTATTAAACATTGCCAGGATTGGCATGTAGTCCAGCTCATCAGGCTTTAAGATCTTAGTTCCCTTATAGCTACTTCCTTGTCTCACAATCTTAGACGAACTCAACTGAGAGTTATATTCACCAACTTTTGCACATATGGTTTGTATCTTATCCTCTATGTATGATATATGCTCTTGAAGTTTATCAGGTGGATATCTATTCCTGACATCAGAATGCTTTGCAGTATATTTTACAAAGTCCCTCAAGCGTTTTATTTCTGGTTTTATCGATGTATATGGTCCAGTAAAGACTGGTAGAACAGTGTTAGATGCCATAACATCAATGATTTGATTTTAGGTTACAAGTCATACATTTTATAGACAATCTACTCGACTAAGACTAAGATTAATGCTATTTTGTTAATTATTAATGAATTAAATCTGTTTACCGTGACCTCAGGAATTTTTCAAATCTTTTAAAGTTTATTGTGAGAGCAGTTAATTGTGTTTATATGTAAATGGTATCTATAAAATTTTGAAAAACAAATGTCAGTTAAAGAGCCCACTAACAGCCCATAAGGCATAGGAAGATGTACACTCTGCCTCATATGTTTTTATGTTATTACTATGAAGAGGAGTCATATTGGTATATTAAGTAGACCCTAAAACTTGAACACCCCAAACTTGAACACTTTTGGATTAGATTATGTTTGTCATTTTGATTAAAATATGTGGTTGTATTGCATAATTAGCAATGATGAAATGAGATATAATTAATGAAAATGACCAACTTTGATTGTAGTTGTTATATCTGTTTAATCAACTTTTACATTTTGATTTCAGGCAATACTCCCAATCCTGATATAAATACATACAAGAATTGCAGATACCAATGATTACTTAGATAACAACTCAATCAATTAATCACAAAATGAGGACACTGTCAGGGAAAACTATTCTAATTTAATTACATGTAATTGACTGTTGAATGTGTATTGAAATCAGCAATCAATATTGATCTACAACTACGCCAGCAATTAACTGATGGACTCAATGTAAAATACAAATGATACGAAAAAATAAAAAAGAGACACTGATGTTGGTATTGCCATGGAAACGATGAGACACATAGTTTTACTGCTGATTTGGATGAAGCTGTTACCTAGCAACCAATGTGCCGATCTTCTCCATCCTGAATCCGATGTGACCTCAAGCCATGGACATTATCCCCCAATGTATTGTAAATACACACATATCGTCTTCAAAGGAGACACAGGAGCATTCCATTATAAAAGTCATCGGGACCTACACAAACAGTGTTCCTTTGCTGGAACAGACATTTGGGAATTTAAAAAAGACCCTGATTTGGACATTGAAAAATGTACAGAGACATATGATCAAGGGCATATATTTACAATATTTTACTACTATGGAAGTAATTATTTTCACCTGCATTATGACATGATGTTACCTCTTTTTGCTGAGATTATGAAAACAGGTAGCAGGGAGGGGACTGCAGCATTTTTGCCAACTGTGGAGTCAGAGAGATTAAAGGTAAGCCCACAAGTGAAAAAAAACATCTTGCCATACCACTCTAATAAACCACTAGTAGACTACTAATACTCAACTAGTAGAACATGATCTATTATTGGTTTGTTAGTGGTCATTTTCGTTAACCATTGACTTAACAGGTGGTTTTTTAGTTGAAAAAATTACCATGCCAATGAGATAAAGATTATTGACCAATCAGAGAGCATGTAATACACTACTAATAGATCACTCCTGAAGTCTCAAGTATTACTAATATACCACTAATACATCACTTCCTGCACTCTAATACACCACTTATACACCACTACTAGTCTAATAGACTACTAACAAATCACTCGTGAAATCTCAGAATTTTATACATCCATAAGGTACAAAATCTCTATAGTGCTAAATTCAGTGAGAAATTATGAATAAGATTCAACATGTACATCTTCTACATACCTTTATGAATATGCTGAACAAGATTCAATAAAGTCCAGTCACCCCTCTGGTTGTAATGCTACATTTCATTGGAGAATTAATTCCCTTACATTTTAACTATTTCCGCCATTTAAAAGGGGCTTCTCATTCTAAATCAAGGATCAGTTTAATACACTACTAATAGACCATTCCAGAAAAATTGACTTAATACACAACTAACAAACCACTCCACCTGAAAAACCTTACAGTGGTTTATTAGTTGAATATTGCCAGTCTTAATAATAACTTATAAACCACTTGACTAAATCACTTTTTATGGTGTATTGGTGATCTATTGGTGATGTATTAGTGGTATATTCAAACCTGCCAACCTACCATATTATTATGGGAATCTACCGAAAAAATTTTGTTTTTTCCTTAAAAAATGACAAACTACCATGAAAAAAATACCATTTTTTCCCGTAAAAACGCCCATAAAAAAATCTACCGTACCTTTTCCGAAATCTACCGTAATTTTTTTTTCAAAAACTCCATTAGAACGGCCGTAAAATCTACCATAAATTTTTGAACATCTACCGTGATGATAACTCATATACCAGTTGATTGAATTGGTTCAAAATTATATGCTGATACCTTGGTACATTAGGGGGCTGAAATTTTCAAGATGGCCACTATTTATTAAAACATTTTTTGTTCGGTGAGATTTGCTACTCCCTAGTGTTCCTGTTTTCTAGTTCATTCCATTTTTATTTTTAAGAAACTTAATTGGGATACAGTGGCATTTGATGACGACAGTAATTACTGGGTCCAGACAGTCAAGGTGAGAACATTGTGTCTATTTCGTTTTAGTCACAAAGTACACATGCTAGTTGGATAAGAAGTCTAATTATATCACTTACTTTAATTAATTGATATTTTGTATAGCAATATGTATGAGAGCATTCTAATCAAGTCATGATTTAGATATCATTGACAAAGTGACATACTGAATGTTTTTTTGTCATCACAATTTAGGAGTGGTTACATATTTTTTTATGCTTTTTTGTGAACAGTGTTTTGATGTTGGTGTTTGGTGGTTGGAATTCAGCAGCTGGTGTTAAGCAGTTGACATTTGTAACAAATGGCGGGTGGTGACATTTTGCATGTTAATGCCTTGTATGCCTTGTATATTATTTTAACACAGAAATTATATTACAGAATAGGTGTAATTATGTATCATATTATGAATATGTAAATCCTATTCATTAGGGTCCTTACAAATGAAAACCCTGAAATCTATAGGAACACCAATGAATAAATGGGTCTCGCTTTTATATACAAATGCATGTATATATGCCTTGAAGGTTCAAAGCTGAGCTCTAGGATGGCATTAGGGTAGTATTGTATCATAGTATTGTGACTGGTAAACTAAAACTTTGTTCAGTAAATTTATTTTAATATTGTTTGAATTGGGAAATAAGTATAACTTAACTGTATCTTTTGCAGTTTAACAATTGTAAACTAGAAGGTGAGTTAACAAATGTATTTTCTGTTCCACTATTAGAGAGACACCCTGTAATCACCATTTGATGTAACATTAGCACCAATGTATTTTCTCTTCCATTATTAGTGAGACACCCTGTAATCACCATTTGAGGTAACATTAGCACCAATACATTTTCTGTTCCACTATTAGCGAGACACCCTATAATTACCATCTGAGGTAACATTAGCACCAATGCATTTTCTCTTCCACTATTAGCGAGACACTCTGTAATCACCAATTGAGGTAACATAACACAAGTGCAACTTCGTTTCTACTATTTGTGAGACACCCTGTAACTACTAAGTTACACACTGATTATCACAAGTGGAATATTTGTTGCACTATTTACAAAGCACCCCATAATGAAATATTAGAAATCATTTCAGTACATGCAGTTGTTAATAATTCAGTGAGTTACTATGGTTAATTTTGCTTTTTAATTGAATATCAAATTGTGATAGTATTTTATGTTTCAATTCTGTGAAAGTGAAGATGAGTCAGATGCAATCTTGAATAATATTTCTCTTTGATTGCACAAACAGATTATTGAAACCATAAATTATACATTAATTTTCTAATAGACCTGTGATTTAGTTTTAATTGATTCCAACTGGGGTTGTTTTGTATTTTCTAGGGCTAGGGTCTTTGATTCATATATTAAAAAATGTAGTGATTAATAGACATTAATTTTGTGAACTTGTTAACTTTGAACCAAGACTCATTGACTATCTCATCAACATAAGAGCACTTGTTTACAAAAACACAATCTGAAATATTTCATGGCAACCTTGATTAATTTGAGGTTATTATGATAATAGAGAGTTTTCGGTACAAGTTTTCAATCAAATTTATACTGCAACTTTAACTTTCAAATGGCGGAAACACCACTTGGGAGGAAGGTTTCTCTAAGAAACCAGGAAAGTACATTTCATTTGAAAAATTTTCCTCATTTCTCAGTCGAGGGAATTTTTTCAAGAGAAAATTTACAACTGAATTGCCAAATGAATAGGCGCAGTGCATGGCAAAATATGTTAGGTCATCTAGTATTTTTTTGAATTGATACCCTTCTAAGATATGAGATCTATTAATAAAGGCTTATCATCACCAACGTGCAAAAGTCAATGATTTTGCTATAAATCGGGCAACAATGGTCTACACGACCTGTAATAAAGGGACGTTATTATCACAATACTAATGACATTGGTCACTTTTTAAAGTTAGTTTCTTAGCATTATACAAAAAATAATCGAAATAAATTAATATCGGATGGAGGGGGGATCGGATGGAGGGAGGATCACTTGTATATAGACATGATAAGACATGCTACTTGAATTTATTCTTATGACTCCAAATTTTCCCATTTTTCATTCTTCAGAGATATAATATCCAGTTTCTTACTGGGGTACTGAGTTGTTGTTTTTTAAATACACGAGTTCTTGTGAATTTTGCTCCATCGTAAAGGCATATAAATCCCCTTCCATCCCATCCCCAAAATTTACACAGAAGAAAACAAATGATTTCTTTACATAGAAATTAGAGTAAACATGTTTTATTCGGAACTGTATATTTGGCTCAAAAATTGAAAATAAATGATTATGAAAAGTTCTCAAACTTTTCCAAGATTGCAACAATTTGTTTTTGTAAAATTGGTTGTTACAAAGAGATACTTTTCAGTACACTGCACACCATTATATTGCCATTTGATGTACGGCATTTCAATTCAAAACCTATCAGAGGAATGAAATATTTTCATATATAACACATTTGGTTTAATGAATACCACTCTATATTACAGCTACTACTAGGAAAACATGATGCCTATCGACCAATGAATGACAAACTCAGGACTCCTGGCTACACAATCTGCTTCAAGAAAGCATATTTTGGGGTAAGACCATCCACCTTTAAAATAGGTATATGAAACATTCCTACCTCTACAGGGTGTCAAATGGCGTTGTGCCCCCCTTCCACAGCATTAACTAGGAGAAGTACACATACATTATATATCATTAGAAAGAGCATTCAATTCTGGATAAAATGAACCCTAGATGACCAGGGTCAGATATTGCTCTGACTTAAATGCTTCAGTTCAAATTGAGCCCATATTAATGGATAAAACAGAGCTACTTATGGAAGTTGAAGCTGTAGAGAACAGATATACAATAGATATCCTCCAGGAGAACCTCAAAAAGTATTGAGATCTCTGCGCATGACATTACTCTTTTCAATGCCCTTTTAACTTGATATCCAGCCTGACTGGCAGCCTTTTAAAGCTGCGGGGGATGGTCAAACTCTCTTTTAAAAGTTGGTTCAAATTATGTATTATTTTCTATCATCCATCTTCATCTTTTCACACTCTAAGAACAATTAAATGCTCTTTTCAATGGTATATAGTATGCATGTGTACCTCTTCTAGTTTATGCTGGGGATATGGGGCACAACGCCATTTGACACCCTGTAGTGTTATTAAGGATGAAAAGTGAAAGGACCATTAAGTCTCCATTCTGATTTATAAAGGCCCCATTCATTTACATGGATAATAATTTTTTGGAAAAGGAAATGAGAATCATAAGGAACATTGGCATGGTTTTTGAAAACATTGCGGTCAACATTATACACTTGCTATCCCTCTAATTTCTTTCGAATGATTGCACACTCTAAATAAATGGTTTGGCAATGATCATTATATTTAAAGTCAAATTCTGGAAAAAGATGTAAAAAATAGTATGGCCTGGTCAAGTCTTGCTTTAATTCTCTTGCCAGAAGACCATGTATCACTACATGTTAGAAAGTCAATATGGGACACACATAGGCTTGATACAAGACTACATGACATGTAGTTCAAATCCATCAAAGTATCCAATATGGAATGCTTTAATCTATGAAAACCAAACCAAAAATAAACTAAACTAAGTGCACCACATCACCAAGTAGGGCTGTCATACAGTGTGTAGAAAGAACCTATGACGTACTTGTAAAATAGTATGTACCTCTCTATCAAGTAGGACTATGTTATTATCTTTTACTCCCTCTTCATATAAAAAGAGCTCCATATTTAATTGGATGTTATTTTGGCGCCCTCTTTACATTAATAGGTTTTCTATTTACAATGGTATGATTTGAAGCACCCTCTTTGTATAAAAAATTTCTACAGTGTGTCCATAAAGTCTCTGTATGTGCTACATTTACATTTCAGAGTCCAAGATTTGAGTTTGACAATCGTGATGTTGTGAGGAATTTTATCAAGTATGCAAAACAAATGCACAATATTACAGAATACAATATAGAGACACCTTTAGTAGGAATTATATCAAGGTAAGTTTACAATATAAATGTACATGGTGTCCACTGTATAAGCACACACACCCCTTAAGCTCATATATGTGGACACCTTGCATATCATATATCTAAGTTTGACTAATGTTTATTAATTGCAAGTAATCCCATGAGAAGTGTCACTCTACACAGATCCAAAACAGTTACTGATCAATTAAACATTTAACGTTTATAGAAGAAAGTTATTTAGCAAATGTGACCACTTACACACGCAGATACCATTCAAGAGTGAGAATACATGTACTTCATTGATATGTTGCATTCAAGGTCCAACAGGCGTAGGATTCTGAATGAGGCTGATGTCGTTAAAGCTTTGTCTGAAATTGTCCCCACAGTACTGATAGAGTTTACGGGCATGACCTACAGAGAACAGGTAATGTAAAGTTAGGATTGTACATACATGTATTACTTTGCTTAACATTTTGTGATATGGTTCTTGTGAGAAATAGTGTTCTATAGATCATTGCTATATACTGTAATTATATTTTCATGTAAATAATAATCAAAATTAGTAGGTCTAAGAATTTTTATCCCCCCCAGATATATTGTACTTTATGATTCTATAAGAGGTTTACAAGTTTCAAATATAAATCTCGTTCACATTGTTTATACCATTTTGTTATGTCACCACCACAAGTGGACAGTGTTCTGCAGTTGGTGTTCCGAGGTCAGGGGTTGGTGTATGGCATTTGGCATCTGTTTCAATTGGCAGGTGGTGACATTTAGCATGTTAATTCCTTGTTTATATGTTGTTTTTGTTGTTTTGTCTTCTGTGGTGATAATCAAAGGAAAATATCATTTTGCATTGTTATGTTGACAATAGACTGGAAATGAGTGGAATGAAGGGAGGAAATAAGAAAACAGGCATGATGTTTCTCTGAATTGTATGGAATTACAGTGAAAATATGCATGCATTCATCTTAGAGAGGAAACATATAGTATGTCAAGATATAAACCACAAAATAGTTATCATTATTAAAGATGCCTTATGCCTCTGATATTCTGTTAATACAAAATCCTATTTTCAGGTCCAGTTGATGCAAAAATATTCCGTCCTAATCGGAATGAATGGTGCTGGTCTAATGAATGCTCTCTACCTGCCCAAGACAAGCGTCGCCATCCAGTTAGTGCCTTATAAAGCTGGGCTTAATTTCAATGAATTTGGGAAACTGTTAAAATCCAGGGGGCCCTACATAGAGTGGCATAATCAACATGAAGAACTAACTGTCCCAATGCCAGGGGATCCACATAGAAATAGACCTGATACGATTTTACACATAGATGAAATGAAAGAGTTGGTCACTGAAGCGTTAGAGTTGATCTCAAAGCAGAAACATAATGTTAAAACAGAGCTGTGATATTTTGCAGGTGATTTTAATGTTTGAAGACTCAAATAGATGGCAGATCACTAGTTTTCTGTCCTATTGGTTCAAATGTATGTAGATATTCCTGGAATAATCACTTAATCACTACATTAATCAAATTCATATTACATTTAACATCTTATTGTACATGTACTTGTAGTTCCCTTTTTCATAATTCTTTTCTTTCATGTCAAATGATTCATTAGCAAGTAGTTTTTTATATACATAAATAGCCCGTTGCATGTTTTATGCCATATATCCCTAAGCAAATATCATCATTGTATTTTGATCTTTGTTTTTGCCAACCCAAGATTAACCAAATGTCAATTTTCTTCCTTTTGTAAGCAATGCACTACTATGTATCTGGAATCAACATGAAAAAAATTAAGACTACATGTACTTGCCTTTGTTTCACACTCAAAAGCACAATTGTACAAGTCATGCACCATTGTATTGGACATTTTGTGTAATATTGTCTGTACAATTAAATTACAATTACAATTATACAATCAGATGTGCAAAGATATGAATCTGTGATTTTATACTGAATATTTGGGGTTTAAATGAACTGAGTCTGTGATTCTCCTTAGTCGGGTTTGAATAGGAGATAAGTTCACAGAATATTTCAAAAATATATAGAAGCAATCTTTAGGTGGATTTCAAAACTTCATACCATCTTTTTGAGAACCTGAAGTGGCACCAAGCAATCCATTGACTGTTTCACCAAAAATCCAAGATGGCCGCCATAATGTATCGGCAAATCACTAAAATTGACTAATATCATCATTTAATTTGTCAAAATAGTTAAATACTGATCAAACATGACTAATAATAGTACTTATTAGATGGTCATATGCATTTAAAGTCACTAGATTATTTTTGTGTAAAAACTGGAGTCCCACAAGGCTCAACTTTATGTCCCCTACTTTTTTAGTCAAATGACTTTCATTGACCATGGCATTTGTACATTGCAATGTACAGAAATTCATTTTTGTAACATGTGCACATAGGACCACATTTCACCTTGCACCCACACTTGACCAATGCTTGGCATGCCTTAGCTGCTTGAGGAAGAAATGTACATAGTGGCATCAGGAGGGACATGTCATACTGCCAGCCACATGTTGTGAACTCAATAACCATTTTAGTTATGGCACCAAACTATACTGCCTTGGTTAGCAAGTTAAGATTTTCTGTGCAAGGGCTCCTTTTGTTGGTGGTATTTGTCAATGACTGTATGACTGTTACAGAACATTAGCCTTCGTGCTGCATTGATATCTATCTGGTTGCTGGTTTGATCATATAATAAAAAGTAAAATGTTCCAGGGACTGAATGGCTTGAACTGACAAATGCAGGTTTGTTGTAACCATTTGTGCCACTTGTAGAAAAGCTGGAGTAACTTACTTGAACACATTCCATAGATTGAAGGGCAGATTCTTTGCTATGCCCAAAGAATGGTGCAGTTATATAATATAATTTAATACCTGTAATTTTTGAGAGGTCCGAAGGCAATCCAGATTGACACCTATTGCGCCCTAATCCTGCAACCATGGCAAGAAAAAGGACATCAGTATCTCCACTTCTGATTATGAAGTATTTTTTACCCTCTGAGGTCATCTGTTTTATATGAACAAAGAGCCTAGTGTCAGCTTTTTCATGAATAAAAGGTTCAATCATTGCTGTATCTGGCAATTGAGGAAAGCACTGAAGAGATTCCCAAATAGTAGTTATCATTTGCTTTTCATTAACATCAACCTCAGACATATAGTTGCCCAGGAATGCAAACAGCCTAGTCTGGTTCCATTGGTTGTTAGAAAGGCTGGTCAATTCTTTGGCATTTGTGCATCTCTGCATAGATCATCCTTCTAGCACCAGTGCCACAATAAATCCTTGTTAGGGACTTCTCACTGTTTTGTAGGTAAACATTCCAGACAACATCTAATCTTTGAACACCTTCCATAAGCTGCCTTAACTTGGGATGAAACACCAGAAAGGACCAGGAAGGAGCAGTCTATTAAAACTACATCTGCTGTTGGCTTTTCCAATACTTTGGGTCCATCTGGCTTAGTTTCTAGGCATTTAAGTAGGTCATTTAGTTGTAGGTTTCAAGCTCCATGCTTAGCTAGGGATGGCGGGAACTCATGCTTTTCAGGTTTGAAAAACTCAGACATGTTATGTGTCTTGATTGTCAAAGGCAAGCAATATAGAGCATAGCAAAAAGGTAATTTTCTTCTCTCAGTTCCTTGACCTCAGGAATCACTGCAGATGATTCTTTGTTTTTTTCTCCCTAGATCACACCAATTATGCATGCAAGTGAATCCTGAAGTCAAGGATCTGAGAAATGATTATGACCTTTTTGCTATTACTCTACATTGCATGCCAATCAAGACACAATGACATGTCTGAGTTTTTCAAATATGAAAACCATGAGTTCCCGCCATCCCTACATAACCACGGAGCCATGAGACCTACAACAAAAGCAGACTTACTTAAATGTCAAGAAGCTAAGCCAGATGGATCTGAAGTATTGGAAAATCAACCTGCAGATGCAATTTTAATAGATGGCATCCTTCTGGTCCATGTGATGCATCCTGGTGTGGCTACCAACTTCAGAGAATATGGTACCAATGTCTCATCCCAAGTTAAGGCGGCCTATCGAAGGTGTTTCAAGATAAGATGTTATCTGGGATGTCTACCTATAAAACAGTAGGAAGTCCCTGACAAGGACTCATTGTGGCAATGGATGGTTTATGCAGAGAATGTGATGCCCCAGAATTGGTTAAGCTTTCTAAGAAACAACCAGAACAAGACTGAGCTGTTAGCATTCCTGGCCAACTCTATTTTTGAGGTTGATGTTTATGACTATTGCGGAATCTGTTGAAGTGCTTTCCTCAGTTGCCAGTTACAGTAATGATTGAACCTTGTACTCATGAAGAAGCTGATACTACACTAGACTCTTTGTTCAGGTAAAACAGATGACCTTAGAGGGTAAAAAAGACTTCATAATCAGAATCAGTAGAGATACTCGTGTAGTCGTTCTTGCCATGGCTGCAGCATTAGGGTACAATAAGTGTCAATCTGGATTGCCTTCTGACCTCTCAAAAATTACAGGTATTAAATTATATTATATAACTGCACCATTCTTTGGCCATAGCAAAGAATCTGCCCTTCAAGCTATGGAATGTGTTCAAGGAAGTTACTCCAGCTTTTCTACAAGTAGCACAAATGGTTACAACAAACCTGACTTTGTCATGCCATCCAGTCCCTGAAACGTTTTACTGTTCTAGTATATGATCGAACCAGCAACCAGATAGATATCGATGCAGCACAAAGGCAAATGTTCTGTGATGGCAATACAGTCATTGATAGAATGCCACCAACAAAAGGAGCCCTTGCACAGAAAATTTTAAGAACTTGCTAACCAAGGTGGTATAGTTTCGGGCCAACTGTACAATCTCAATCCAACATAGGTATCGGAGTTCTCAACATGGGGCTGGCAGTATGACATGTCCCTCCTGGTGCCACTGTATACAGCCCTTCCTCAAGCAGCATGTGAAGCATTGGTCAAGTGTGGGTGCAAGGTGAAATGTGGTCCTAGGTGCACATGTTACAAAAATGGATTTCTATGCATTGCTATGTGCAAATGCCATGGTCAATGCAAAAAATGGAAAGAAAGTAGCGGACATAAAGTTGAGCCTTGTGGGACTCCAGTTTTCACACAAAAATGATCCAATGACTTTAAATGGATATGAGCTTCTGATAGGTACTGTTATTAGTAATGTTTAATCAGTATACATCTATTTTGACTTATTAAATCATAACGTTTAGTCATTTTTTATGATTTTTGATACATCGCGGCGGCCATCTTGGATTTTCGGTGAAAAAGTCAATGGATTGCTTGGTGCCACTTCAGGTTTTCAAAAGAATGGTATGAAGTTTTGAAATCCACCTTAAAATTGCTTCTATATATTTTTGAAATATTTTCACCTAAATATTCCTGACTAGTCGGGTTTGAATAGGAGATAAGTTCACAGAATATTTCAAAAATATATAGAAGCAATCTTTAGGTGGATTTCAAAACTTCATACCATCTTTTTGAGAACCTGAAGTGGCACCAAGCAATCCATTGACTGTTTCACCAAAAATCCAAGATGGCCGCCATAATGTATCGGCAAATCACTAAAATTGACTAATATCATCGTTTAATTTGTCAAAATAGTTAAATACTGATCAAACATGACTAATAATAGTACTTATTAGATGGTCATATGCATTTAAAGTCACTAGATTATTTTTGTGTAAAAACTGGAGTCCCACAAGGCTCAACTTTATGTCCCCTACTTTTTTAGTCAAATGACTTTCATTGACCATGGCATTTGTACATTGCAATGTACAGAAATTCATTTTTGTAACATGTGCACATAGGACCACATTTCACCTTGCACCCACACTTGACCAATGCTTGGCATGCCTTAGCTGCTTGAGGAAGAAATGTACATAGTGGCATCAGGAGGGACATGTCATACTGCCAGCCACATGTTGTGAACTCAATAACCATTTTAGTTATGGCACCAAACTATACTGCCTTGGTTAGCAAGTTAAGATTTTCTGTGCAAGGGCTCCTTTTGTTGGTGGTATTTGTCAATGACTGTATGACTGTTACAGAACATTAGCCTTCGTGCTGCATTGATATCTATCTGGTTGCTGGTTTGATCATATAATAAAAAGTAAAATGTTCCAGGGACTGAATGGCTTGAACTGACAAATGCAGGTTTGTTGTAACCATTTGTGCCACTTGTAGAAAAGCTGGAGTAACTTACTTGAACACATTCCATAGATTGAAGGGCAGATTCTTTGCTATGCCCAAAGAATGGTGCAGTTATATAATATAATTTAATACCTGTAATTTTTGAGAGGTCCGAAGGCAATCCAGATTGACACCTATTGCGCCCTAATCCTGCAACCATGGCAAGAAAAAGGACATCAGTATCTC